GGGAAGGCTGGTGTAGCTAGGATGGAAGTGTATTGTGATACTCATCTAAGTTTCCACTGAACGTAATGCAGTACCCAATGGGAGGTTCTCATCTCCATCCAGACTGCATGTAGAAGAAGGCAACTCCTTTGAGCCAGAGCTTTAAAATGCTGCATTACCGGTACAAATATTGAGTTACATCTGCATGTAACTTCTCTGCAAAGATTGTGTTGGGTATACATGGCGTCATGCCCCAAATGCATCTGAGACATGGTGTTGGAGGAGAGCTTTGTGAATACCCCAGAGTGACAGGAAAACAAGAGCGTTCCAGATCAAATCAAGCCAGAGCTTTCCTTAGAAGCAAAAATGACAAGATTGAGGCTTTGCTACATCATGAGAAGACAAGACTCAAGGGAGAAAATGATCATGCCAAGGAAAAGGAAGACCAAGCAAGAGTTGGAGTGACACCATAAAAGAAGCCACAGCCTAGAATTTAGAAGGCTAAATTCATAGCCTTGAATTTAGAAGGCTAAAGCTAAGCAGGCCTGTCCTGGATAAGGCATTTTGGAGGGCTTCCATTCATATGGTCTCCATATAATGGAGACAACTTGGTGGCACAGAACAACAAAACTCATGCTTTTGCTGCCTGTGCTATGAAGGAATTCTGCAGAAACATGAATAACACATTTCTCATTTCCATTTACAAGATGGTGTTACATGAAACCTACAATAATGTGATGGTTTTGTTTTAGCAAGTCCCAGCATCAATCAGTATTATTTGTAGCATGTATGGTCCACTCTAGGATGGAGTAAGCTTATCTGAGATATTAGTAAAGGTTAACAATTACCACAATTCTATTTATTGTTCCTGTTTTATTGCAGGGAGAAGCTTTTGGATTCTTTGCATCCAAAACGATTTGTGATGACCATACCTTTCTGGCTGAATCTGCAATTTATTTTCAATCCTATTGTATCAGAACCATAGAACAATGTAATTGAAAGGGCTAGGGTCCAACCCCCTCCTCGATGCAGAACTCCAAATTAAAGCATCCCTGGCAGGTGGCCGTCCAACCACTTCTTCAATGTCTCCACGTGGGAGAGTCCACAGCCTTCCAAGGTCATTGGTTTCATTGCTCAAACAGTCAGGAAGTTCTTCCTGGTGTCCAGCTGGAACCTGCCTTGCTGTAACCTGAGCCATTATTCCACGTTCTGCATTCTTGGATGATCAAGAAGAGATTCTGGCCTTTCAAGTACCTGTAGAGTGCTATCATATCTCCGCTTAGTCTTCTCTTTCAAAGGCTAAAAATGCCAATTTCTTTGATTCCTGTTAGGGCTTTGTTTCCAGTCCCTGGACCATCTTTGTTGCCCTCCTCTGAACCCTTTCCAGTTTGTCTCCATCTTCAACTGTGGTGCTCAGAACTGGACACAATACTCCAGATGAAGCTTAATGAGTGCTGAGCAGAGGGGACTAGTGCTTCATGTGATTTAGATGTGATATTTCTATTAATGCAGCCCAAAACAGCATTTATTTTGGAGTCACACTGAGTCGTGGTTAAGTCCAAACACAAAACCACATAGTTCAGGATGCAATTAGCTGTCTACCAGAAGCTCACAACAGAACTTTGAGAAAGAATATATCCTTATTCTCAACACGGTTGCCCATGTGACATCCTAGGGCAAACTCCGAACAACTAGCAATTGGTCTCAAAACTGCAGACTCAAGGGAAGTGAAGACACAGTAGCTTTTCAGTCTTGCGGTAAGTCTGAATGCCTTTAAAAAAATCAAATTACATTCTGCTTGAAATTGTCATCCTACTCATTAAGTGGAGAAAATGATATGTTCCTAAAATGCCTCCATCATGAATGATCCTGCACAGTTTCAGAGGCAGCTCCAGTGTCAAGAGCATAGCTAGGTGGGAGCAAGAACCCAAGTGTAGCATCACGCTTTGATTCAATAAGTCTGCACAAATTACTTTCTTTCAAAATTGGATAGCAGAGAGTTGCACGGATTAGACGAATGCAGCCAAATAGTATCATACAAAAGCACCCCCGATTGCAACCCTCTGGCACTCATGGGGTCATTCCTGAACTCAAAGGAATATAGGAAATAGAAGCCCTCCCTGCCTAACTTGCGCTACTTCGTAGCTGACGCACGTTCCTTCTAGAGGTCCCCTTTTTAAAGCTACAGCTCAACTGGGGTCCAGCTGACCTCAATATCAGGCTCCTGGAATGCTTTTTAGGACTGCGGTGGCAAGCGCACAGTCCTATGCATGACGAGATGGGGAAATTATCCTCTAATGCCTAGGATGCACCGTCCAACCAGACTGGGAAAGCAGTTTCCACATGCAGAGGTTGTGCCTGAAAAGTGCTGCAGCGCAAAGGGTATCTAAGCTATGTGGTTATTTAGAACTGCATTATGTGGAGGATGCGATAGGCAGTGCTTCTGGGGGCACTTTCCAGCACCAACGCTTCAGGTGAGGGCTCCAGAGGCTGGGGAGCGAGGCCCACGGACACAGCGATGGAGGAAAAGAGAAGGCCCATCTCAAAGCTGCCATCTCCAGGTGTTCAGGCAGCTCCTGGGAAGTGACAGGGTTTGGAAGCGTTGGGAGGGGACATGGGGGAGGAATGAGAAGTCTGACCCCATGACACGGCGTTGGGCCTATGTAGGTCTAGGAGGCTAGCTCTTCTCCAGAGGGGCACATCCAGAGAGGTGGAGGGGTCTCGGAAGCAGCTTCTAGTTTGGGTTCAACAAATCAAGCTGTTCACGCACAGAGAACTGTAACTGGAAAGAAAGAGCTTTTAAGCAAAAGAACCGTCTGTTCTTGGAAAGGGAATAAGAGATCCCTTGAGACCTGAGTCAGAGGCCCTCCTCCGGGAGCCCTCCTTGAAGGAGATCAAGAGGCTGACTACCCGGAGGAGGGCCTTCTCTGCGCTGGCCCTCCAATTGTGGCACACGCTCCCCAGAGAGGTTGCCTGGCGCCAACGCTTCTTTCCTTTTGGCGTCAGGCGAAAACCTCTTTATTCTTCCAGTATTTTAATTGCTAACCTGTTTTATTTAGTGGTTTTATATTTTAACATCGGATGCCGTGCAACTGTCACTCTTATTTCTGTTTTATTGTATTGTATTAATCTGCTGGAAACCATCCCGAGCCGTCTGTGATGAAAAGTTTAAAATAAATAGAAAAGTTTTAAATAAATAAATAATAGGGGGGAACCTAGCACCCCACACATAGTTATTCTCAAAGAGAAGAAACACGACACGTGCTTTGCTTAGCTTTGAGAGGTTTGACATGACTCTGGTTTTGTGTGGGCTTTCCAAATGCACTGCGGATAAATTTGCGAACATCCTATTTGCTCTTGCAACTTCCCTGTCTGAGTGTTTCCCAGTTAAAACTGGAGACCACGTTCCACTTGTGCAGGGGATAAATTCTGCTGCTTAATGGACCTCTTGAACAGCCATACCTGCTTGTGAGGATAGACATTAATGTGGCATTTGATGCATTCTTGCCCCATGTTGGCCCAGGAGTTTCCGCTCATCCATTTTCTCTTGCACTTGGGACATTTGTATTCACCGAAGCAGCGCTTCTTGCCCTGGTACGGGGTCAGGCCTTCTCCTTTGGGGCGTGCCTAAAATACAGAGAGGGGAGAAGAAGCAGGCAATTGTCACTGAAGTGCAGAACAGCCAGCTGGAATCACACAGTGGAGGTTGTGTTATCAGGGGGTGCAATTAAACTTTTACAATGCCAGGTCCTCCCCTCTTTCCAATTTATGGCAAGACACCCTTGAAACCAGAGGGAATTGCAAACTTCACTCATGGCACGGTGTGTTGGGGTGGGCATGACCCATGTATCACCACACTGTTGGCTGCACGGAAAAAAGCCCCCTGCTTTGCATTTATTTACCGAAGCATCACTTAGCATTTGTATACCGCTTTGCAGTATTCAAAATGCTTCACAAGCACATTTTTCCATTAATGTCCAACAGAAGGAGGCAAGAACACCTGCAGGCCACACTCATGCCAATGCTGTGCTTCTGAATTTGGTGGTGCGGCAATGAAGAAGAGGAGGAGGAGGAGGAACCAGAGGTAAACCGCTACACAGACTTAAAAAGGACAGGCTGAGCTTAATATGTTCATTTTAGGCCTCCGAAGCACTTTGCGGCTGCATTTTGGCAGCAAACACCAGGTTGGATTGTTTCTGCTGCTACGGTTGTGTTTCCAACTTTTGGTGCTATGGTGGTGGCTATACCAGATGATAGTGTGGTAGGACCCATGTGGAGCCTGTGGACTGAATGTTGCCCAACCCTGATTCATAGCATAATCCTTGCCTGCTCAAAAGTAATCCCTGCTCTATGCAGTAAACATGCATAGAGAAAAGAGTTGGGCACTGTAGGTCTTTTTTTCTGTCTAAACTTGTATAGACTCACACACTTGGGTATTTGTTTCCTACATATATTCATTACCTTCTGCACAAGTACTCAGTAGTGTTGCAATCCTTACAGTCGTGTTGTAAATGAGCAGTGCTAGGTAGCGTCTACAGGGAGAATGATGATGTTCCAGGGGCTAAAAGTGAGGATGGCTTTTTGGACCCCTGCCAAGCTCTTGTCACGTTGTTAGGAAGAACATCATAGACAATTGCCTTGAAGCTGCTTGCCCTTTAGGTAAGAGCTGTGAGAATCAAAACAATTTACATTACAGAAGCAGGTCCATCCCTCCCCTGACTACCAGGAAGGCAGGGGTGTGCATGTGTGCGTTTGTGTGTTTGAGGCTGTGTGTATTGACAGCCTTTGAAACAGTGGAAGAGAAGAATTTCATCAAGTCCACGTCAAGAGATGTTGTCTTTTGTTCTCAGCTTGCAGAGGGGAATGGAGGCGTCACTTGCCCGGGAAACTTTGGACGCTGGAGAAGCCCTGACCTATTCAGGAAACCGATGGGCCCACTATAGGGAGTGTGTACACTTTCTTTACCTTGTTTGGATTCTGTATTCCTATATCATTGTATTCAAGAAACCACATACCATCTTTGACACATTTCTTCCCAAGTCTCCTCAAATCTAATGTGAGATGCTTGGCTAAGCCAAGAGTGGAGATGGATACAGCAGGTCACTCTTGTTGTTCCCATATTCTAGGGAATGGGGGAAGAGGCTGAGCTTCAGAGGAAAAGACTTATCACAGGCCAAATGGCACAGGAGTTCAACCAAGTCGTGCCTTCCTCCTTTGTCACCCGGTTTCTTAGTGAGAAAAACATTCAAGAAATGCAAAACCATATAAAAGCGAGCACATCCCGAGAAGAAAACACCTATAACATCTGTACACAATAAAACTTTGCCCGCACTCTGTTCCTGACCTCCCAGCATTTCGTCACATCCTAGCATGGCCAAGACACAGAACCTAAGACTTCATGCATAGTTTAGCTGGTTCAACTTTTGAAGTTTGCTGGTAAGTTCAGCATGACAAAGAAAACGGGCTACAGTGTGCCATGTGATGTTCTCCAGGGCCACTCCTCCCCTCTCTCCTGCCAGCAGGCATTTGGCTAAGCTGAGAATTAGCAGAGTAACCACCAGCAGAAGCAGCCTTAACACAGGCCTTCCTTGCTAGAGGCTGGGTAAATCAAGCATTCCTGGGGAGATGGAGAATGGCGGCCTTTCTTAGGAGGGAATTCCAAATACGTGCTGCCACATGGCGATGGTGTGGCCATTTAGCATGCTGGCTGGAGGAGGAGACTGAGACGACCGGCTTAGGGTGGTGGCCACCACCCTGAATGGGACCTCAATTGGCAGAGCTGTGCAGCTCTCCCCACAGACAGGGCAGCTAATTGCTTATTCCTGAACTGACGCACAATGCAGAGGCTGAACGTGCGACTGCCCCTACTTGTTTGTGTATATTTCCCCTCTCCTTTTGCATGCAATGGTGCATTGGGAGTACACAAGGGAAGGCTTTCTCTGGTGCGGACCCTGGAGCCCAGCTGGTTTCTCTTTTATGGGCTGTCATCCTATTTTCCAACTCCTGGAAATGGTGAATCATGTCTCTCTCTGGGGCTGACTGTGCAATGATCCATTATCGAGGTTGTTTAACATTCCTTCACAGCCCAAGCCTTCCTTAACTGCTTTGGGCACCGTTTCTTCTGGTAAAGAACATACACAGCAAAATAAATATTTGGGCAGGAAAAATATTTCATCTGTTTTACAGAAATGCCCCATGGTTGTGGATGTGGCGATGCTTTCTGAGCTCACTTCCCTGAAGTGTGGATTTTGCAATTCATGTCACTAAGCAGAATGAAAGGTTGGTGTGTACATGGGGAAAAGGCACTACATGGATGGATCTGAATGCATGCATTGGAGAACCTGGCTTGGTGCTCGAAGTCAAGAACTCTGGATTAGGTATGTCAGTCAATACCAAGCCCGCCCACATGAGCCTGCCTGTGGGTTAGGATCCTCATCTCTGGCCCACCACCATCAAGGTACGTTTGGTAGGAACACCAACAGGGCCTTCCCAGTGGCTGCCCCACGGCTCTGCAACGCCTTGCTAAGGGGGGTTATAGGCTAGCTCTGTCTTTGGAGTCCTTCTGCTGGCAGCCAGGAGACCTTTTTATTCAGGTGTTTGACTTTTGGCTGGTCTGTTCACTAAAGTTGGTTTTAACTGGTGGCTGACTGTTTATCGCTTCATGTTATTTGTGTCCCTTTTTCTTTCTTTTTCTTTTGCTTTGGATTGGCTTTTCTATTTTGATTTTATCTTCCAGTTTCCTGCAGCAAGCCACCTTGAGCAAAATTCACCTTGGAGAAGGTGGCATATAAATTTAATGAATGAATGAATAAAACCATTCTAGTGCAGTCAGACTTACCAGTATCCAAGCACTGAAGGGCTCTAGGCAAAACGTTTGCTTTGGGATGCAGGGCCCTGTTCCTTTTACTCTCTCACCCTTGCCCATTCCCCCCCATCCCTCCTTCTTCCTGTCCTTTCCATCCCGTCCCGTCCCTTTCTCTGGCCTCTTGCTTTGCCTAGTGAGTGCCACATTCATTTCCTGGGGATCATAAGCTTCTGCTCAGAAAGTGTTCTGTAACGATGCTTTTTCACTTTTCCAATTTCAGGGTTCCCAGGCAAGAGTTTCCTCTCCTGTTGAAGAACAGGAATACGATCCTGGCCAATGTGAAATGGTTAAATTACTGTTCAGGCTGTTTGGCCGTCTGTTGATTCAGCTGCCGTGTTGGTTAATAGTGGGAGATGAAGCATTGCCCTAAATTATAAAATGTTATTTTGATCTAATGTGCAAGTAAGGGTGGAGTTTCTCCCCCACAATTGCATTGGCAAATTTATTCATTCATTCATCCATCCATTCATTCATTTATATTGCAATGTATATCCTGCCTTTTTCCTACAAAGGGCTCAAGGCAGCTTACATCATTCTCCTCCTCCATCTTATCCCCACAACAACAACCCTGTGAGGTAGGTTGGGCTGAGAGTCTGTGACTGGCCCAAAGTCACCCAGTTGGCTCCATGGCTGAGCGGGGACTAGAACCCAGATCATCTGAGTCCCAGTCTCACACTCTTAACCATGACACCACACTGGCTCTCCATTCACTGATCCCAGATAAAATTCATGCAGGCACTGAAACATTTCTAAAATTCTCTATCTCTCTCTGCATTCATCCATACAAGTTCCAGAAACTGGCAGGTAGAAGTGTCTTTCCTGAGAGGCTGTTGCTAATCCACTGGAACCTGTTCCCTATTCATATAACTGCTTTTCTGTTCTACTGGAAGTTTTTTCATAAGGCTGATGAAAGAAAAGTAAGTTTTTCAAAATCCAAGGATGTTCTTAAACAGAGAGATCTCTGCTTTGCATGGAGAAATTGTACTGTATCTCAGTGAAGAGGTCCAAATAGCTCTCGGCTGTTACAAGAAACAGCAGGTGTTTGGCAAGAAAACCTGAACTTGGCAGAGCCTGGAATCCCATGGTCACTGGTGATAGCTAGTGCTGCGTTGTGTGTATATGAGAACTTCAAGAAAGCATATTTAAAATACTCAGCTCTGATAAAGTGGACAATGGAATAAGGTGAGTATTTCCCTTAATTTACTGGACAGGGAGAACAGAAGTCAAATATATTTACAACATCCAGGGTACTGTGCACTGAAAAAACACAGGCTTTAAAAAAAGAATGCTGCTTTTCCATCATTAAGAAGTCAAAAGCAGAGCTCACGGGAAATGGAGTGCAGTGGGAAATGGAGTCAGACATGCCAAATCCAGGCCAACGGGCCAGGCCAGAGATGCAGAATTCAAGGTAATGATAACAGGCTTGGAAAAGTGTGGGCGTGTGGAGACTCATAAGGAAACACTCTTTGTGCCACTGCATGGCATCAGCTCCAGGCACATCGGCCGAAGCTTTAGCTTCTAATTTCCTGGCTTTCTGGAGCTTGCAGCCCAACTTGGATAGCCTTCAGGGCTCCCTCTTTAAGGGTTTTAGCCCACTGCTTGACTGAGGTGTCTTCCATTTTCATTGCAGGAGGAAAAATCTGATCTTCACACACCTCCCCCTCCACCCACCCCAGGGTTGGTTTTCTTAGCCTTTCTAGCAATTCTCTCAACCCACCACAAGATGGTGCTGCGGTATAGCTACCTAGAGTAGACTGGGACT